CCTTTCTGATGACTCACTCTGCCAGCAGGTGTCTAGAATTCTGCATAAAGCTGCTAACGCACTGTTGCATGTGTGAATGGTTACCACCCAGGATAAAAAGGAGGTGAGGGGTGAACTTCTACAGATGTTGATGAGGACAGGAGAGGTCTTGTAGTGAGAATGGAGGGGAGCTAAGTTCAGGTTTTGTTGTTGTAGGGAAGCACTAGCTTCACTGTAAGTTAAGAATGAGCACTGCTATCTGTTTAAAGATTGATTTTTTTTGTATGTGCTCTAAAATCTGCAGACTTCAAAGAGAAACAGCAGAACTAAAATTCATTTGCAAATTCAACACCATTAATCTGGGCTTGAATAGGGACTGGGAGTGGCTGGGTCACTACAGAAGCACCTTTTCCTCTCCTGGAATTGACACCTCCTCATCTATTATTGGGAGTGGACTACATCCACCCTGATTGAATTGGCCCTGTCAACACTGGTTCTCCACTTGTGAAGTAACTCCCTGCCCTCCATGTGTCAGTATATAATGCCTGCATCTGTAACTTTCACTCTATGCATCCGAAGAAGTGAGGTTTTTACTCACGAAAGCTTATGCCCAAATAAATCTGTTAGTCTTTAAGGTGCCACCAGACTCCTTGTTGTTTTTGTAAAATCTGCAGTTACTCTACTTGCCTGAAATTTGCTGTGCCTCACAGGGGTGCTGGGTAGTGTTAGTGGTCAATATTTGGGGTAATCTGATCAAGAAGTTTCTTAAGTAGAGACCTTCTAATAAACAACATTTTACAAAATCTAAAATTGTTTGGTCCCCCCTCCCCTCCCCACATCTGGGAAGCTGTGCTGGATAGGTAGAGAGACAAGTGATCATACAGAGGCAGTGAAGGGACTAATATGCAACCAGTACATTCGATATCCAGGGTAATCATTGCCAAAGACCCAGAGGTAGTGGAGGAGGATAGCTGGGCTCTTGTATGGGAGATACTGAGAAATTATTATTATTATTTTTTTTTAAACAAAGAAACTAAATGTCCCCAAACTTTAATTCATGCATAATTAAGGGTACCTTGTGGTACCTCTTGTCTTTCCAGAACATCGAGTTCAGCTAAACTCAAACTGCTGAAAACTAGGAAATAAAGAGTGAAGAAGGTATTGCAAAATTAAACTTCTGAAAACTAGTGAATACAGAGTTAAAGTTTGCACCCTTAACTCTTCCCTCTTTGAGTGATGCCCCTGCATGCCCTTAGCATGCACACAGCTCACTGACCTTGCAAATAATGCAGAACACCCAAGGAATAGGGCACATGAACACCATAGGACACAGTCCAACACCTTCTCTTTGGTAAGGCATAATTTGGGTACTGAACAGGTGCTCCCCACAGTCAAACACTAAGCCTGCTCCACAGAAGTAACCCGCACCACACTAAATTTTACAATCCCTTCACCCTTACCCACAAGATTTCATCTAACACTAACCATGCATGGAGTGTCAGGGAGTTGTGTATTATTTTGTTAGATCATATGCACCTCAGTTTACCTGCTTGATATTATCTTGCCTGTCTGCAAGGGGTTAAATCTAAGGAGGCTGTTGGGGGAAATAAATAGAAAATGAAACTGGCAGAAATAACATTCCATTCAGAGAAGATCAAGGGTCATTGAAGAAACAATGGAAAACCTATTACTTGGGGAATGCCCCTGCTGGCTCCAAACAGGCTGCCAAAGTATACTCTTCCCATACCTGAGTTGCCAGCAGCAGCTACAGGTGGGTCTCAGACAGAAACAGACACAAACTGCAACAGTCACGTGCTCTCCTGCAATCCAGAGATGGAGGTAACAGGGCTGAATGGAATTTACTAAAGCTTGCAAGAAAAAATTAAGTTTTAGATAAAGGGAAATATGTATATAGGTCTTTATTTTTTCCCCTTTGCTTTATGGGCTGTGTATCTTTGGGTGAATAAATAACATTTTATTTTGAAGAAGCTGTTCCTGAGTCACTTTAATCAGCTGCTTTCACAGGCTCGTGGAGGAGAAGGGCTTAAGATGCCTATCAGTTGGGCATGTTGGGTTAACATGGTTTGTAAAGGGGTTTGTCTGCAGCACAGAGATCCGGTCTGAGTGGTAAGAGCATGAGGTTTCACTCAAAGAGGAGCAAAGGTAGTGAAATTTCTCCCCAGAGAGGAGCACTGTAGAAGGACTAAAAGGCATCTAAAGCACAGCTAGCTCTTTAATACTGGTAGCCCTGTGCTGCTATTGCCTCAAACTACAGAACTCGATGCTGAAATGACACATACTGGATCTCTCAAGGTCTACATGCACCTTTCCTTTGTTCACATATTGGGGAGTGTGTGGAGGGGAAGGCTGGACTCTGCAGATTTCATATCTCAATCACTGCTCTGCCAAGTTTTTCCAACCAATCCTTTCACCTAACACAGTGAACACGGGTGGCACCGTATGCAGATAATTCCCAATAGTGATTGCCAGCTCCAGCGGGACAGAGTTAAGGTTGTGCAGGTATGTACCTCAACTCCATATTTCCTAGTTTTCAGAAGTTTGTCTGCATTACTGACTCTTTATTTCCTGGTTTCAGCAATCTGAGTTTAGCTGAACTCAGTGTTCACAAAGTGGTGCCATTCTCAGTAAAACTATAAGAAACAAGGTTAGTTATCAGAAGCACCTGCCTAATATCACCTTTCCATCCCTCATTTATAAGTGCATATACTTGCCAACACTGGAAAGCTATATGTAGGCACACATTTAAAACTCCATTAGAACTTGGAAAGCATTCTGGAGAGAGAAAATGGAAAAACAGCAAACCTAATGGCATGCAGAGCATGGATTAACCCCTTCCATCCCTGAGATTAAACACACCTCAAATACACACTGTCAAATCCATCAATGTAAGAGTGAAATACTTTGAAAATTCTAAAACAAGCCATGTCTTTTCATCACCCCTTACAACTGAATGAGATATGACACCTTTGGTTTTTCAGAGCCCACACATACTAGTTTCCTGTGTTAGGGAACTTGAAAAACAGGTATCATGCAAACACTGTTACATGAGGCAGTAGGGACAGTGTATAACCACAGTTTCCTCAAAATGTATTTTAGATATGGTTTAACAAAGTCATGCCTCACTACATCCTGCATATTCAAGTATTTTTAATATGATAGTTTAAAAAAAAAACTATTGTCTGTCTTAAGCATTTCTGAAATGCCGATCAACTAGAGTAGGAGTACTAAATGGTACATTAGACTGGTCCAAGAAAAGATCAGGTCAGATTCTGCTCTCTGTCTCTTCCAGGTTCTAGAAAGCCTTGCTTGCTTTATCATTGTAAAGAGCTTATTTGTGTCAAGTGTATGTTTATATTTATACTTCACACTTACTTCCTGATACAAGGGACACTGTATAATGTGTGTTCCTGGCATCCACTGCTGTTACTGCATAATAACCAAACCATTACTTTAAAGGGCAACTCTTGCTTTGTGCCACAAGTTGGACGAGCTGTATCTAATGATAGGTTTCATGCAAATGGTCAGACAATGCAACACCAACATAGAGTTCTGTAAGACATTGGAGTGCAGTGTCCCCTTTAAACAAGCTGCTCCCTGTATTTCTCCTGCACAGTCACCCATTTCCCCCCCCTGGGGAATATAGGTGGTCTGCCCATATCATGGGGGTGGCACTGCCATTTGATGCATTCAAAATTATATCAAGAACCTAGACAAGTCCAGATTGTGTACATGCCAGTATGGGGAGTGACCCCAGACAAGGGGGGTGCATTGCAAGGGGTCCCCAGGCCAGACACAGCAGTGGGTGTGCATATGTATTAGGGTGATCTCTAGATGAGAGGTATGTGTGTGAGTGGGGGACCCTCTGGGCATATGTGCACATAGGGAAGTCAACAAGCATGGGGGGGCCCCTCCAGGCCAGCAGTGTATGTGTATGTGAGAGAGAAAGAGTTGTGGGGGGACCCTCCACATCAGGGGTATGTGTGTGTGAGGTGAGGGGGGTCCCTTCAGGTCAGAGGTGTGTTTTTGGCGGGACCCTCCAGGATTAGGTGTGTATGTATGTTGGGGGCCAACCCCCGAGGCAAGACCCAGGGCTGGTGTCTGTGGCTATGCATTGGGGGTCCCCGCAGGTCGGGGGGTGGGGTGTGCGCGCGCACATGGAGGGGGTCCTCCCAGCCAGGCACAGGAGAGTGAGTGTATGGGGGGTAGCCCCACTCTTCCCTTCAGCGCTGATTTTGTGTGTGTGTGTGTGTGGGGGGGTCCCCCCTCGTGCGAACCCTTCTCCAGGGTCCGGAGCAGAGGGAAGGGAACAACCCCCGAGCCCGGCTCAGCGGCGTCCACCAGGCTCGGGTCCGACGTGAGACCCCCGAGCTCGCTCTCCTAGGCTCGGCTGTTCCAGCTCACCCTCTCCTTCCCCCCCCCCATCTTTTAAATCACTTCCATCCATTCCCCTGATTGGTCCCAGCCTCCTGCCGGGTCACGGGGTCCTGGTCCGGATCCAATCAGGAGGCCGGATACTGGCGGGTGGGTCCGGCCTGGCTGGCTGGCTGGGTGCCGATTCGGTGTGTGAGCAGGAAGGCGGAGGCAGAGCCCGGCTGCCCCCCAGACGCTCGCGGAGCCTCCCCCACGCCCCCACCCCGCCGGCTGGGTCCCTGAGTCGCCTCCTCCTGCCGCCGCCGCCGCACATTGTCTGCCCAGCCCTCCGCGGCCATGCCCCTGGGCTCCTGCTGCTGAAGGACCCGAGCCCCCCAGCACCCCCACCTCCGCCCCTGCCGCTTTCTGTCTCCCCGCCGTGCCTGCGCTGAGCCCCCCTCCTCTCCTTCCTCATCCCCCCCCACTTCTCTCCACAGCCTGCCTGGCACCCCAGAAACACCCATTGATGGTGTAGAGCGTCAGGGGAAGGTAAGTCTCTAACTTGCCTGCTGCTGCTCCCTCCCCCCTTTCTTGTTGGGTTTTGTGGGGGTTAATATGTGGGGCAGAGAATGGGGTGTGTGTGTGTGTGTGGGGGGGTTGATGGAGAAGGAGGCTTCTCTTGAATAGACTGGGTGAATTTGTAAGGTCATGTTTTGACTGCTGTGTAGGGGGGAGCCAGGTGTTTTTTATTTTATTTTGTTTATCTGCCTGTAATTAAGGGGTCAGGTAAAGTCTTCAACTTGTCTGCTGCTGCTTCCTCCCCTCGAGTGTTTGGGTGAACTTGTGAGGTTTGATTATTAGTGTGTGAAGCAGGATTGGGGGCTTGGTGTAGGAGGCCACTGTGAACCTCTTACATGAGTGGGGCAGTAGGACAATCGGGGGAGTCTGTGTGGCTGCAATTTAAGGGAAGGTAAAGTGTCCAACTTGCTTGTTTCTTTTCTCCCTTCTGCTCTATCAGTGCCTGGCTGGATTGTTGTTTTTGCTGCCAGTTGCTGGGGCTGTATGAGCCAGAGAAGGGAAAAGGATGCTTCAACCTGTGAACATCTTGAAAGCATGTCAGAGGTTTGACTGGGGGTGTGGGGAGAGAGGACTCTAATCTGAATATATTTTAGAAAGTTAGTGTCTGTAAAGGTAAAGTGTTCTTCTTCCTCACAGCTCTTGTTTTCTGAGAACCTGTCTGAATTATATTTGTTGCCACTAAATATCTTGGCTCCATCAGTCTGAGGGGGGAACCTCCCAGGTGTGGGGAAGTTGGAAGTGTTTAAAAAACAAACCCATTTTTATAAATTTAAGAGTCTCTTTACTTTTCATGTGTCTTTGGGGACTATAACAAATTGCAAAATAAAAATTTTGATGCAGATGCAAATGGGTTTAGTTGTAACATTTTTAGTTGTGTGGGAAGTATTTTTTTTCTTTTCTGCTTTTTGCACTTTAGAAAAAGAGAGACACAAACCTAAACAGAAAAGCAGTGGGAGGTAGACAACATTACAGGTTTCATTTCTGAAACTGTCTGTTCAAGAAGTTGCTGGGAAGAAAACAATGTGATTCATTGTTGAAGCGTCTCTTTCCTCAGATTTATTTTTGTACACTGGTTGAAGTTATTTTTGATTAACTGACTTCTTATACTGACTCTTTTCTTGGAAACCGTAAAGTTCTTGGAAATTAGAGGCTCACAAGATTTTATGTACTCATTGGACCAGCTTCTGAGTTCAGATTTGCCACAGTGAAATTATTTTGGGTTTACATTAGTGTAACTGAGATCAGAATCTGGTCGTTTGATGTTGGTGTTCCATTTGGGTAGGGGCACTTTGTTTTGAAAGAAACCTGAAATGGCAGGATTCAAATAATATATTTCCTTTAAAAAAAAAAAAACTAATTACTCACTTAGAGGGAAAATGTGGTAGGTTGTAAAATACAGATATGCTACATGTTCAGTTTAATGTGTAATATTCTGGATCTTTCTCAGTTTTAATATTGCAAGAAACATGTTTATGTTTTGTGTACACAGCTTCCATTCAGAGTCAGGGAACCCAGGGTGGTGGGGAAGAGGAGAAGGGAAAATGAATTTGTGTAAAATAAATAAATAACATCAGTGGGTAAACATTACATGCCTTGGCTTTGCTCCCTGTGTTTGCCCTTTAAATTACAAACGGGGGTTGATTTTAATGGGCAGGGTTGGGTGGATAGCAGCTTTGCAGATCTGTTGTTGTTAGTTGGTGAGGACTGGAGAGAAGAGAGGGAGGTAGAGAGAGACACAATGCCCAGGCTGGGAGCTCATTGTTCTTTCTCATACACTCTCCCATATTTAGGACTATACTTGCACACAAACACAGCCTCTTGTTTCCTTCTTTTCTTTTGAGCAATGGAGGATCAGGACAGCATTTTCTACCCCTTTCCCTCCGCACGCGCGCCCCCCCCCCTCCTGGATGGCCTTTCTGTAACCTTGCAAAGGCGAAAGAGTAAATCGGAAACTAAAGGACATCAAAACGTTCAGCCTCTTCTTCCCTCCTCCCCTTCCCAGAGCTGGCTTCTGCTGCTGTTTCTTTTTTGTTTGTTCGTGACAGTGTAAAGATGGGATAGTGCACTTTACATTCCCAGCCCATGGGCTACTTCCTTTCACCCTCTTCTTTCTCCCTTCCCCCTTAGAAAATTTTTCCAGGGCAAGATGTCTCTGTCTCCCCCTCCCCCGCCTGCCGGATTTGTGTATTTGTGATTGGTTTTTTTTTGTGGGTGGTGGTGGTGGTGAGAGTAGAAGAGATTGCTATTGTGGGAGAATATTTTGTTGTTAAAGACCATGCTTAAGGCTAATACAGTGAGGTGGACTGGGATAGGAGCGAGTGAGGATGCTATGATATTTAGAAGTGATCAAAGGGCAGACAAATGTTTTACGTTATATTTCCTCTCTCTATTCTAAACTGGATTTATGTAGCTTGTTGGATGTCTTTTATTTTACAATGCATTTGTAAATGGATTACTGTTACAGGTGTGGTCTGAGGCTGCCAAAGTAGGGAAGGGTTTGCCACTTAGCAACTTCGGATTGGGGGTGGTAAATCCTCAAATGACTCACTGGTGCCTTCCAATGTCTGATAGCTTTGTGGTGTGCAAAAGTCAGAAGGGAAGGTGTGATCACAGTATATTGGATCCTGTAAGAAGACATTTGAGGGTATGCAGACACTCCTGTCATACCTTTATGGAGTACTAGGGTAAACAGTGTCATGGTTAGAGCAGGGAACTGGAGTCAAGACTCCCCACATAATGTTTCTGATTTTGGCATTGACCTGCTGTGTGTAACCTTGGCCAAATCACTTTCCTCCTCAGTGCCTGTTTTCTCAGCTTTGTAAAATATGGTGGCTGCATCTGGACTGAGGATTTTCAGGGACATTTCCCATGTTGTTTTATCACAAGTGCAGCTCCAGTGGCAGTAACAACAGGAGGAACACTAGTGTAGACCAGCCACAGGGACATTACTGTTGCCTCATCTAACTCAGCTCAAAGCATGTCTACATGACATAATAGAAAAACTGCCAATGGCTTTCTAATGCTTCAGCACTTTCTGTATGGAGCTTTGCTGGTGTTAGAGTAATAGAGGGAGACTTCTCTGGCATTCTTAGTGCAGACAAGGCCTTTGAGATCCCTGGCTGAAAGATACCAGTGTGAAGCATTACTATTCTGTAAGCTGAAATGGTGACTGTAGCTAGGAGAGGCAAACCTGCCTTAGGCGCCAATCCTGTAATTGGATTTATTCATTTAGACCCCTTTGCACCCAAGCGGAGTTCCACTGACTTCATTGGGGTTCTGCAGAGGTGCAGAAATGTGTCCCCACAGATCTGATTGCAGGATGGGGGCTCTTTGGTCCTTTTCTGGAGCAATAGGGGAGAGAAAAGGTTTCCTAAATGCTGCATTACAGGGTAAAACGTGATTCATAATGATTTTTCCCGATTTCATTTCTGTTCAATAACTGTAAATGCCATGTTCCTTGCTACGTCAGCATTAGCTGTAGTATTAATAGTTGTATTAAGCATCAGTGTGTGTAAACTTAGCATCCTGGGCCCAAAATGCATTTGTCCATCCTTGCAATAAAGGGGTGTGGGCAGATTGAGAGGTAACTTTAATGATTTAATAAATAAACACTTGCCTTGGGCAAGTAGAATTTTGCAAGATTGCCTTATTGGCTGCGTAATGGCGCAGCAGAACCTGTGTTAACCTATTAACAGCTCTGCTGATAAGATAAGTTAGCCTAGGCGTGGCTTTGAATTCATGGACTTCATCTTTAAAGGACATTGAGCTTCAGTAACACGCACTTACATTTTCTCTGTGATGTTGGCATGTAAATACAGTACTCAAAAAAAGCCATCAGATTTTCAACAGAGAAAAAGTACTTGGTGGGTAGGCTTAGATCCTGCAATGACAGCTATGTGGGAAGGCCCCTGCACCTTCACAAATCTCCACTGGAGGTGCGGGGTCTTAAACATTATAAGATTCCCCTTATTTCAAATCAACCAAACTCTTGATTTGGTTTCTGTATATTAACTTCTCTCTTGTATTACAGGATGAAACCTGTTCATTGTTATCTTGTCACAAGAATTTTAAAATGAAACCCAATTCTCCTTATGTGCTTATAATAATACAGTAGATTATTAAATCCAAAATATTTTTTTAAAATAAGTATATGTAAAATGAGTAAAATGTTTAGCATTGAGCATAATTAACCATTGGAGCAGTTTATCAAGGATTGTGGCAGATTGTCCATTACTGAAAATTTTAAATCTAGTTTGGATGTCTCTCTAAAAGTTATGCTCTAGCTCAAGCATAACTGTTCGACTGGAAGCAATAATTTATTCAAGGAAGTCCCATGGTCTCTCTTATGCAGGAGGTTAGATTGGAAAGCCTTGAAATCTATTAGTTGTTTTTCATCTGTTATGCTGTTCATTTGATGCATTTTTCTTAGTTTGGACAATAGACTAATTAACTTCTTAAAAATGTCAAATTTTTGCTTTCTGGTTCAGCTGTACAAGCATGGAGAAGTTGTCGGGGTTGCAGATGGAAATGTTTAAATCCAAACAAATGATGTGTTTTAAAACATTTAAAGGACAACAAATGAGTGCTTCTATTCATACATAGTCTTAAATCTAAACTTTGAGTTTAAACTGTTTGACAAGTATCCCTTTTAAAATAAACTAAAGTAGGCTTTCTTTAAACAGGGAAAATACAATAGAAATAATGCTACCTCCCAACATCATAGGATTCTTACCATTGGAAGCAAAAAACAGAACAAAATCCCGTTGATCAAATCAAATACTACTTGTTTGATATTTATTTTGTTTGTTTACTTCAGGTCAGCTTGAAATCAGGTTTACAGTCCAATAAGGATGTCTGTCCAATAGAATAATTGGAAATTACCTGCCAGGATGGCATCACTAATAACAGTTGAGGAGTAGTTTTGGATAGGAGGTTTTGGGGAAGATGAATATGAGGATGTTGCTAATATGTTGATAGGAAATAAAATAAGCCACTTTCTGGAGGGGAAGGTGCGTGGAGCAGGAACCACGATGAAGAATTGTGCTTCTTACATTGGTTTGTCAGCAGCATTTTAAGCAAACTTTTATAATGCTGGTAGTTGTGCCCAACTTTTCCCTTCAAAGAGGCTGATGTATAAGCAAGGGAGAAAACAACCCAAGAGTACTGTGATGATTTCTTCTGCGTTAGAAACATACTAAAGGAAGGGATTTTAGACAACTGAGTAAAAGACAAGCTAAAATATTAGTTGACAGATTCCATTTCAACTGTATGTCTAAATATAACTATTTAGTAGTAGGTTGACCAAGAGAAAAGTAAAGCTATAGCCTTAGATTAGGTGGTGACTTGCATTAGTTTTTCCTCTATTTAAAATGGGGATAACAATGCCCTCCTTTATGAAACTCTTTGAAATGTGTGCTTGAAATGTGCCATATAAGAACTGGGTGGTGGCTTTGTCAATCTTTCAGCATGCTGACGTTACACTTCTCTTGAAAGTGAAACTCTTAAAATGTAGTATAATGTGAGTGCTGCCTGCATTTGGTAAGCACGTCTATCAAGATTGCTTTAAAATCACTTTTGGTTGTAGGTAGTTTAAAAATAATTAATTAGTAGAAATTTAATGGGAGCAGCAGGTATCCTACTAAATGATCAGTTTTTTATGCCTGTTGACTTAAAGCTTGCGGTAAACTGGGAAAAAAAAATCTCAGATGTTATAGTGAAAAAGCACTGAAGTAACCTGGGTATGAACCTCACTATATATGTATATATATGTGTGTGTGTGTGTGTTATCAGTATACCAGCATACAAAATGTCCAAGGGTTCTGTTCTCCTATTTATCACAATGGTATTGAGACTAGAATGTCACAAATCAATTTTTGGCCTATTATAGAGTATACAACTCCAGTTGAATATTCAAAGTGCTTAATTCCTCAGGCTGTATTAAATGGAGACTGTCAGCTTGAAATCCAGTCAGTTTAAAAACAGTGCAGTTGAAAGGAATTTCAGGTATTACACCTGACCCTGAGTTTGCCACCAATTGTTTTTTACAGTCATAGTTTTCTATTTTTTTATAAACATGTTTTTTCTTTCCCCTGTTGGGTGTGTGTTTACCTAGTGAACAAGAGAAACTGCTTAACTAAGGCCTGGTTTACACTACAAACTTAGGTGGACATAAACCGCATTAAATCGATCTAATAATGTATGTGTCTATGCTACCGAGTCCCTTCCGCCGACCTAAGTGGCCTGTAAAGTTGACTTCTGTACTCCACCTCCATGAGAGGCATAGCACTTGATTCGACATCCACTGGTCAACATGGGGAAAATGTAAACACTGCATTGTGTAATTCAAATAAATTGGCCTCCAGGAGGTGTTTCACAGTGCTCCACTGTGACCGCTCTGGAGAGCATTTTAAACTCCACTGCACGTCAGCCAGGTACACAGGAAACAGCCGCTCCCCTGTTAAAGCCCCGGGAACTTTTCAATTTTCATTTCCTGTTTGATCAGCATGGAGAGCTCGCCAGCACAGCTGATCATGGAGACTCAAGGCCGCAAACACACTCCAACATGGAGTATACAGGAGGTGGTGGATCTTATTACTGGGTGGGGAGAAGAGTCTGTGCAGGCAGAGCTCTGATCCAGCTGAAGAAATGATGACATCTATGCCAAGATTGCACAGGGCATGAGGGATAAGGGGTGTACTAGGGACAGGCAACAGTGCTGCGTGAAAATAAAGGAGCTTCGGCAACCATACCGGAAGACAAGGGAAGTGAACAGTCGTTCTGGTTCTGCCCCGCAGACATGCTGCTTTTATGAGGTGCTGCATGCGATTCTCAGTGGTGACCCAACCACTACTCTGAAAGGCTCCGTGGATACCTCCCAGGAGCCCCGGGCGACCTCGGGCAATAACAAGGAGGACATTGTTGACGAGGAGGAGGAGAATGTGAGGCAGGCAAATGGAGGATCCATTCTCCCTGACAGCGAAGAATTGTTTTTAACCTTCGAGCACATCCCTTCACAGGACCAGTTGGCGGTGAAGCGTGACACCAGGGAAGGCACCTCTAGTGAGTACACATTTCCAATCAAATTGTTGGGGTTACATGCTATTATTTTTTGTTTAATCTGAACCAAAAAGTAGGTATTGGTGGCCACTCCAGCTACGCAGAGGGTGCGCTCTGAAAAAGACTGTTTATGTGCATGGGGATGGCCCGAGAATCCTCCATGGAGATCTCTAGGAAGCTTTCATGGAAGTACTCAGCAATCCTTTGCAGAAGGTTTCTGGGAAGGGCTGCCTTATTTCATCCACCACGGTAGGACGCTTTCCTGTGCCACTCCAGTATTAACTCTGCTGGCATCATTGCAGCACGCAGCACTGCAGCATAAGGACCATGTCTGTACCCAGATGCTTGCAGCGTCTCCCTTGCCACCTCTGTTACCCTCAGGAGAGTAATATCACATAGGGTCACCTAGGGGAAATGGGAAGTTTTGAATGCTAGCCCTTAAACCACAAACAATTCAACAAGTAATCCGTCCCGTTTGGTGAAATCTGGGTCACACAACAGTGCTTTCCCAAACGTGCTGTGGTTGTAGTTGGAAGGGATCACCGTGTATTGCAAGCAGCACTGGAAAAAAAGCAGGGTTTGTGGCTGCTTCCTGTTTGTCTCCCTTTCCCCCAACCTGGTGCCGTTTTTGTAAAAAAAACAAACTTTTGGGAGGGCTTTACACTGGTTCCTGTCCTCCAACACCATCCAGGTTGCTAGGGGAAAAGGGGTTTTTCTCAAGTTCCTTGTGATCCCAAGGATGTCTTCACAAAAGCAGCAGCACAAGGCCTCTCGACCATGCCTTGTGGCCGTACTCACCACGGCTGGAGCAGCAAACTGACTCTTGCAATAATCAGCGGTTGTGATTACGTTATGGCTTGCAGTGAAGAGTATTAAGGGATTTTTTTAATTAAAAAAAAAAAATTACTTTGCACCAGAAACCATGTGTGCACTGTCAATGCTAGCCTTGTGCTTTGCATTCCTTGCAGCTGAAATCTTGTCCATCGGCGCATCCTCCACACCGGAACAGAGACTTTCCCAGATGAGAAGGCATAAAAAGAAGACTTGGGAGGACATGTTCGATGAGTTAATGCACATCTCCAAGAGTGACAAGATGGAGCTTAGAGCATGGAGGATTACACTGTCCGAGAACTTGGACGTGGACAGGGAGGACGAGAGCATGCTGGGAACAAGTGCGTGCCACACAGGAGAGATGCTGCGGATTATGAAGGAGCAGTCAGACACGTTGAGGCGTTTGGTTGAGGTTCAAGAAAGGCAGCTGGATGCCAGAGTCCCTCTGCAGCCTATGCTGAACCTGCTGCCATCATCGCCCAGTTTATATCCTCCTCCCGCAAATGTCATATGAGGCTGGGGAGGGCCGGGGGAGAGTTCGGTGTCCCTTGCACTGAACACCAGGGGAGGGTACAAGGACCAGAAGGCGCCCATTCCCACGCCTTTGATTGATATTGCAGTGCATCTTGTAAGCAAGATTTTCTTGTTTCTCCCCCCAGAGTGTTATCAGCCCTTTTGCCCCAGGTTATCTTGCTTTTCTTTGCTGTCTCTGTGTGTTTGTAGCATAATAAAACTTAATGGATTGAGGAGAAAAGGATCTTTATTCATTCAACACATGGTGGTTGGTGGGGGTGGAGTTTACAGGGGAGAGAATGCAATGGAGGGGACAGTTTGGTAAGGAACAACACAGATAAGTGTCACATTACTCTAGCTCATTGCTGAAACTGGTTTTCAAAGCCTCACGGAGATGCAGAGCCCCTTGATGTGCTCTTCTTATTGCCCTGGTGTCTGGCTGCTCAAACTTGGCTGCCAGGCGATCTGCCTTAACCCTCCACCCTGGCGGAAACTTTTCTCCCTTTGTTTCACAGATATTATGGAGCACACAGCAGGCAGCAATAGAAATGGGAATATTGCTTTCACTGAGGCTTTGTCTACACTGGAAACTGAAGGACAAAGTCATTAAGAGGTGTGAAAAAACACACACACACACCCCACTCCCCCCGAATGACAAAACTTTTGCTGAAGAAAAACGCTGGTGTGAACAGCGCTTTGTTGGCAGGAGAGCTGTCCTGTGGACAAAGCTACCGCTGCTCGTTGGGGGTGGAAGTTTTTTGTCGGTGGGAGAGCTCTCTCTTGCCAACAAACAGCAGCTACGCTGCGCTCCTTTTAGTGGCACGGTAAAAGGTGTGTAGTGTAGATATAGCCTAAGGTCTAACCTAGTAAGCAAACAACGCTAGCAACCTTTTAAACATACAAAGGCACATTCCACCACCATTTTGCACTTGCTCAGCCTATGTTGAACCAGTCCTTACTGCTCTCCAGGCTGCCTGTGTACGGCGTCATGAGCCATGGGAGCAAAGGGTAGGCTGGGTCTCCCAGGATCAAGATTGGCATATCAACATCAGCAATGGTTATTTTGTAGTCTGGAAAGAAAATCCCTGCTTGCATCTTTCTGAACAGACCTGTGTTCCTAAAGATGTGCGTGGCATGCAAACGGCCTCTATGATCCACCAGTGCTTGCAACACCATTGAGAAGTACGTCTTTCAGTTTATGTACTCTTTGGCAAGGTGATCTGGTGCCAAGATCGGGATATGTGTTCCATCTATCACCCCGCCACAGTTAGGGAACCCCATCACTGCAAAACCATCCACTATGTCCTGCACGTTGCCCAGAGTCGCTACCCTTTTAACAGAAGTCTGTTGGTGGCCCTGCAAACTTGGATCACAACAAATTCCATGGTAGATTTACCCACTCCAAATTGATGCTCCACTGACCGGTAGCAGTCTGGCATTGCGGGCTTCCACAGAGCTATCACCACTCGCTTCTCCACTGTCAGAGCAGCTCTCATTTTAGTATTGCAGGGCTTCAGGGTTGGGGAAAGCTCTTCACACAATTTCTGGAAAGTGGCCTTACGCATTCGAAAGTTCTGCAGCTACTGCTTGTCAGCCGTGTCAAGGTGATGCGTGGCTGTCGCCAGCAACTGCGAATTGCTCAGCTATATGTCTTCCAGCAGAGTTGCTTGTGTGGCATCACACTGTTCCGGGCGGTGGCTCCTGTATCAGCTGTGTTAATACTGCAGGATAAGGCGTGAGGTGTTTGTAATGCTCACCACAAGAGTGTACAGCTGAGCAGGGTCCATGCTTGTCGTGCTATGGTATCCGCGTGGGCAACCCAGGCTTGCGAAAAAGGCTTGGTTTGTTTGCTGTTGATTTCAGGGAGGGAGGTAACTGCATCGTGGGAGGCTAACGCCATGTTCCCAATGTTTTGGTCCCATAAGGCATTGCAAGCCCAACCCGAAATTCCACTAGGCTATGTGTGCTGTGGCATAGCTACCCACAGTGCAGTGCTCCATGTGTTGATGCAAGCCCTGCTAGTGAGGATGCACTCCTACACAATGAGCGTAGTGTGGACACACAAGATCGACTTGCTTACATCAGTGGCTTGATGTCGACTTACATGAAGTTGACTTAACTTTGTAATGTAGACATGGCCTAAGGCTCTGATCCTGCAGTTAGATCCAGGTGGGTGGCTCCTGGTAGTTGTATGGACTCCTAATTTGATGTCAGGTAGCATTCATGTGGGCATGAGGGTCTCATTTTAGGTTCAGGGCCTGACTGACTATACTGTGGGAACCATGAAACTGACTATATACAAAGTGCTGTCAATTGCAGAAAGTAAACAAACTGAAAAGTTCTACCTCTTGTTACTTACTTGTATATTGCTGCTGAGTGTTCCCTGTAAAAATAGTAAGCAAAAGACTTCAGACAGAAATGATTAAATTTTTTTAATTGACATTGCTCTCTCAAATAGTTTGGATTGTCTTCAAGGCGTTATTTTCCTTTGTCTGTATCAAACTTGATTTACGTATAAGGTGGAAAGAATCAAGGTTAAATTGTTTAGATAAGTTGAATGTCGATTAAATGTCTTAATTTTAAATTTGATCCCAAAGCACCATGTAGTCTTGCCATCCAAAGTGATAAATATATCTTGCTTATGCAGACATTAAATATTAAGCCTACAATCAGACTTGTGTGGGTGAACTGCTGCCCCATTGAGTTAACTGGGGCTTCACAAGAGCCTTTTAGGTGTTACTTGTATGCCCTGGTCGCAGAATCAGAATCTCCCTTCCCCATTACAGTCAGAACTCACATACATCTGTATATCTCTGCCTTGTTTGAAACCATAAATGAAGGATATAGGTCAACACATTCTATAATTTTGTCTGAGCTAGTATCTTTAAAAAACAAACAAAAAAACTCTAACCAAAAACATTCCATCTTTACATGTTTACTTCTGGGAGCACTAGAGTAGACAGACTCCTAATGTTTTAACCACCATGTTGTCTAGACCTACTCCGAGTTGCTGCGTTAGACAACATGGTGGTTAAAACAGTCAGAGTCCATCTACCCTAGTGTCTCTCTCTGATGAAAGGGTGCTGTCTGTTGACAGCATTAGTGCTTCCACTATGGCTACCGTTGGCAGAGCTGGTCCTGTGGTCATGCAACGATGGGGCGATAAGAAATATACCAACCTAGACAGGGCATATAGTCTACTAAAGCACTTATGCATGTCCTTAACTTCAAGCATATGGGTAGTCCCATTGTGTAGTCACGTCTCATGCGGCGCCTCATGGTCTCAGATGCCATCCGATGGTCCAGGGACATCTACATCGAGCACATCACCGGCCACCGACAGTACCAGGGGGCGTGAGCCAGAGTGACATCGTTCTCCCACTACGAGAAAGTTGGATCATATGAACTGGAACCATAAACTCCCTAAACATTAAATCTCACCAAATGAGGGTCAATCCATCCTCATCATCATATCCACTCATTATACTCCACACCTGAACACAATCACTCTATGAACTTCATACCCTCATATCTCAATGTCTGTAGTTTGACCCATCAACCTTTTACCCCCCAATCGGGGATATTGCAGATTATGTATTCCTCATGCCATCTGATCTTAAGCCAAACTTTGCACCCTCGATAATCTGTATGTTATTCCCTGATAACCAGAAACTTCTATGCTCAAACTCTGTTCACATTTTTTTTTTAACATCATCTTAAATGCTTTGTTGCATCAGGGTCAAAGCAGCATGGCTCAGTGGACTGAATACAGTACTGGGAGCCAGGATTTGAGTATAGAACCCTACTCTTTCACTGTCTTGCTTTCTAAACTTGGGCAAGGCACAGCAAATCTGTTCCCCAGTATCCACATCTTTAAAATAGGGCTGGTACTAATCACTATTAAAGCGAGGGTGGGTTGGTGAGGCAGAGGCTTGTTCATTATTTTACAGAATATTAAAGATATAAAACATTTATATGAGTGTTTAAGGATTTTTTTTTTTAAAGTACATCTGTGATTCAGCCTAGTAACACTGGGAGCCACAGGGTCCAGGATACATGGTACTGATACCAGAATGTCTTGTCCCCCTTTCCCCTGATATAGGCGTTTTTATCCATTCATGCATGTTAATATGAAAAAAACTCTGAAGGAGGAAAGTGACAGTGCTTCAGAGATTTAAGGTGCTTTAAGGGCTGTATTTCTCCAAGGAATTACTCCCAGTAAAAATTCATGGTGGCTGAGCATGACAGAGTGCAGATTTGCTTCTAATTCATAAAGAACACTTGGTATGTGAGCCCCACAGCATGTTTGCTTTAGGGCCATGGTATAGAATTCCACATCAAACAAATAAAGCTGTAGGGGACACCCTCTTTAACTTCAAAATGGTATTACATGATTTGGAGTACAGAAAACTTTAGGATGAAAGGAGATCTTTCCCCTCTTCAGCTAGCTTTTGTACTCCATCATATTTTTTACCTTTTAATTGTCAACTTTTCTTCATACATACTAATTATTCCTTCTGCTCCTTGGCAGTTTTTCTCCAAATGTTAACTAATCTCTTTCCAATTAAATTCCACCTATGCTCCCTCTAATAACCTTTTTCTTAGCTTGAGTTCATGCCCCCTTTGTTTTATATTTATACACCCTACTGCAGCTATCCTCCCCTTTCTATCAAGATTGCATATATCTCATTTGTGATATCATTTTAAAAGTGAACTGCAGAATTTAGTGTAGCGTTATTCACACACTTTTGTGGTGAATACCCACCACAACCTCATTAAGTGAGGGGCATTACCACATAAAAAGCTTCACCTTATTCTTAATTCATTTTATCTTCTTTGAAAGTCCACTGGCTTGTCTAGATTAACAAAAAATGCACTATAATACATAATTTTAGGATGTCACATGCTTGAAAAGTCATCAGTTGCATGAGACTTGTGATGTCTGCTGCTGTCCAAGAATGAGGCATCTTTATTAATAATAATAAATGCCATGTCTTTATCTAGCAAGACTAGTGTCGTTCTCTCCCCCCCTCCTCTCCCCCAGTTGATTTTGAACTGTAATCTTGATGACAGTTTTTTGCCATGTTTTTCGGAGGTTGTGTAAGTAATTCATTGTTTTAGACCTTACGACATAAAAAGCAAGTACAGTGTTATGTGGTTATACCAGACTAGATGTGACCCCTTTGGAAATTAGAGAGACAAAGTGGGTGAGGTAATATCTTTTATTGAACCAATTTCTGTTGATACGAGAGAGGCGCTTTCGAGCTACACGAAGCTCTTCCTCAGGTCTGGGAAAGGCACCGCTAAATACAGGATTGAACAGATAGTTTAGCATAAGTAGTTAGCACCGCATACAACCCTTTCAAAATGGCAGTTCTGGAAAGCACCTGGATCTTTGAATTGTGTAGAACGGCAATAATCTTGTTTTTCAATTGCGTGTGGAGGAAATACCGTCCCAGGAACTTGTATCTTTTTCCACTTCTATAAATATATTTGCAGAAGTCTCCTAAATTTTATTTCTGAAC